TGGAGATCASGATCTGATGAAGCCAATAGGACCACATCATCCGCAAAAAGCAGAGATGTGATCCTAAGGTCACCAAAAAGGATCCCCTCAACACCTCGGCTGCTCCTGGAAATTCTGTCCATAAAGGTAATGAACAGGATCGGTGACAAAGGTCAACCTTGGCGGAGTCCAACTCTCACCGGAAATGAGTCCGACTTACTACAGGCAATGTGGACCAAGCTCTGGCACCGGTCATACAGGGACCTAACAGCCCGTATCAATACCCCATTCTCCCGGAGTACCCCCCCCTGCCAATCCAGGGGAACTGCCCCCGATGTCCATGCGATATTGTAGAGTCGTGTCAACCAAAGCAACCCCACAACATGCAGAGCCTTAAGGAACTCTGGGCAAATCTCATCCATCCCCGGTGCCTTGCCAACGAGGAGCTTTTTAACCACCTCTGTGACCTCAGCATCAGAGATTGGAGAGTCCGACCCAGGGTCCTCAGGCTCTGCTTCGTCATGAAGACGTGTCGGTAGGATTGAAGAAGTATTTGAAGTATTACGCCCACTGACCCACAACGTCCCGAGTTGAGGTCATCAGCCCAATATGCATTTCTTGAAGCAATTCCAGTCCTTTAATATTACATTTGATCATAAATTCAGAATTATTATATCTAATCCAGGAGATGCTCTTTTGTTGTTATCAGTTCATCTCATTGGTTCACAATGTAGTAATCCTAAACAAGATTTAATAAGATGCATTTTGCAGATAAATTTGCACAACACTCTAAATTTAAAAGGGAGAATTTTTCTGTACTTTTCAGTTTYTAACTTGCTTCATAACATCACGTCTCCATCTGCCGCATCCTGAACCTGCAGGCTTCAGTCAATGAAGGCGATTACAAATGTTTGTCTGCTTGAGATTGATAGGGTGGCTGTGGTTGCAGCCAGCTGCGCAAACACAATCTAGATGATTCATGAACCCACCTGCAAGCTGCTGGTAGTCCAGAATGACAAAGGACCCCACTGCAGCTCTGGGAGCACGACTCAGTGATTAACCTCTCCAGCACAGCCTGATAGATATACAGTTCAAAGAGAGGAGCTGGGTGGTCTCACAGATAGATAGGGCAAATTAGYGATTTCTTTTAYGCAAAAACCCTCACTTACCAAATTTCATCACTTTGTATGTTAAACAAAAACCRTGTAAATGTTGGAGTGSAACCTCTGCAGACTGTGCAGCGTAAGTGACAAATGGGATGCATCTGTGCACAGAAAAGGGGGCAAATCTACAACAATAATATCACAAAAGATRGCAACAGCCAGTATGTGTAACAAAAAATTATATCTGTCAAACATGACATATTTAGTTAAATACTATTAATTAGTTTCAGGAGTTTACASATTTACACATTATGCTTCGCTTACAGACTGAAGVAATAGAATAGAATAGAATAGAATAGAATAGAATAGAATAGAATAGAATAGAATGTMATTTTCTTATTTATTGTCTGTGTTTTTTTATGTATTAAGGACCAGTCTGCAAATAATGTACTACATCATCATCATCATCATCAATAGAATAGAATAGATCAGAAGCAATATTTGCAGCTTAAATATTTGTAGAAGTTGTAATAATACAAGTCTTATTCAAATGTTGTATAAAAGATCTCAGGAGCTGAGTTGTGTAATGGCAACCAGAATAAAATACTTAATGATTGTAGTTTTAGATTTAAAAAAATCATAGCAAGTATTGTGTAAATGGAAATATTTGTGCATAGAATTCATGTTTATTAACATGTAATGTCACTTCASAATGAGGTTATAGTTATTTGCATWGCAGCATCAAAATGTACAGAAACAKTTACTTATTYATTTGCATTTTGCTGCTGCAAGAAAATAATTATAGTTTTTATTTTTGGCTTTCTTTTGAGCATAAATCGCCACTAGGTGGAAGTAAAACTGCTCCTAGTCCGATTGTGTGAGAAGCTTTGTACCTGAAGACAAAGASGGGGTGGGATGTTGTGCGGTGTAGATGTCCTCCAGTGTTGGTGGTCCCTGGGTGTAGAAGTGCATAAATAATTGTCTCCACTGCACAACAGATTCAGCTATTTTTGGAATTGCATTGTTTTAATAAAATTAAGAATCTTCCACACAGACAGTGTGACAAAAAAGTTATTTAGCTGAAGATGAGACCCCATCATAAAATATTATCATTCAGAATGCAAGACTTATGAAGTTACTGAAACACTATTTATACTCTTTCTGCTGACAATATGAGTCACTTAAGGCACTACAAAAAACACAATATTGTGCATATTTAATATTTTTTAAAGAAGGTCACTTTTGTTAAATAGAAGTCAGATAAGGGTTTTCTCTGGTTCGTGTTTCAACTGATTCTGATTCAGCACTTCCTGTAGTTTTTWAATGGGGCTGAAAGCTTTAACAGACTGTTCGCAGCAGACCTTCCTGTTGGGAAGTGAAAATGTTAAAGTTGCGTGTATTCTTGTTAAAGCCGCTGAGCTTCTGTGGAAAAGCAAAATAAAACTAGAGAATTTGCATTTCCTGCAAAAAATGCAGTGTGATTTTTGCTGAAAGCTGTGAGAAGCTGAAAGACTTGTTGATGCAAGTTAAATTTGAACAGCTGCCTTTTGCTGAATGTAGGCCAACAAAAGCAAAACATGAGTAGAAAGACAGAAAAAATGGTTAAAATAACCGAACAGAACAAAAAGTAGGCTATTTAGATTCTAAAAGTAGCTAAAAGCAGCAAAGGGTCAGTAAGCTACAAAGCTTCAAATAATATATTGATAGCTAAAAACTAGGACAAACAAAACATGTACAATATTTAAATAATCTCTGAAAGACAGGACGTCCACAAGGCATTGTGACCAAATCTGCCAACATGTTTAACATCCTGATAATATATTTAAACAAATATACGTATCTTACTTCTAAAGCTGATAGTTGCCTGGGTTCATGTAGCTTCACCTCCAATATAAACCACAACAGAACTTTTCTTTCATGCCTTCACCTATTGGTTTGTCCAGCTGAAATACACAAAATAATACAAAAAAGACACAAGGAAGGTTATTTAAAACCAAAATGAAAAATGTTCAAATTAAATGGCATTTTGTTAATATTTATTAC